CAGGGGCAAAGATCAGCCAGCGGCCAGGGTGCGCCACTTCCCCATTTTCCACCAACCTCAGCAGAGGGCAGGAGGTAAGAGGAGGCACCAGATCTGGGGTTCCTGTCTAGACTCAGCAAACAGACCCTTCTCGGGCCAGATCTTCTACAGGAGTCCTTCACCTGGGCCTTGTCATGCACTCAGGCCACCAGTCCCTGTTGACTTTGACAGCAGTCCCAGCCATCTGACCTACCTCCCTATGGCCAGCACCTTCTCCACCCTCACCTTGTTGATTCTGTTTTTTGTATCTGAGCCAGAGAGAATGTCCTAAAAGGCAAATCAGACTCTGTCACTTCCCTGCTTAAAATCCTTCTATTGGCCAGACTCAATGATTACTCACACCTGTAATCCTAGCACTATGGAGGCCATGGTGGGAGGATTGCTTGAGGTCAGGAGTTCAAGACCAGTCTGAGCGAAAGCGAGACCCCATCTCTACTAAAAAGATAGAAAAAATTAGCCGGGTGTTGTGGCATGTGCCTGTAGTCCCAGCTACTTGGGAGGCTGAGGCAGGAGGATTGCTTGAGCCCAGGAATGTGAGGTTGCCGTGAGCTAGGCTGACACCACTGCATTGTAGCCTGGACAACAGTATGAGACCTTGTCTCAAAAAAAAAATCCTTCCATGGTTCCCCATTTCTTTAGGGTAGTGTGCCTTGCAAGAACTTGCCTCACCTGTCCCCTACTTGCCTCTCCTGGCTGGCCTCTCCTCACATTCCCCCTCACAACCCACATACCTGTCAATGAACTTGGGTACTTGGATGGTGTCATCTTGTCACTCCATGGCCTTTGAATGTGCTGTTCCCACTGCCTGGAACATTCTCTCCACTCTCTTGGCTCCTCCCCAGCCAACTTCTACTCCTCTGCCATAATCGGTGTAAACATCACGTCCCACAGGAAGCCTCCCCAAGCCCCTAAGTCTGGGTTAGGAGTCCCTGCCGTTGTCCTCTTCCCTCCTTGTCTGTCATTAGGCCTTTGCTGGCATCCTTGCCCCTGAGGGCAGATTTTGTGTCTTTTATTTACTAGCGTATTCCAGTTCTCTGCCCGGTGCCTGGCATCTAGATGAATTCTCCACAAATCTTTGTTGACTGTGTGAAGAAATCTTCTCTTGCACTCGGAGTTGGAGCCCTTCCCACAAGCTGCCAGAGGAGAGGCGGATGAACATAGCTTGTGTTCCTCACAGGGGGTTCCCCTGTCTACATTCCTTGAGAAGTCCCAGGCAGGCCCTCTGACCCCCGCCTCAGGGGCCCCTTATCTAGCTCCTCTTTCTCAGGACAATGGACCCGAAGTCCTGCAGATCTCAGCCAGGCGGCACTGGTCCCTCCCGAACCTGACATCCTCAGTCACTAATTACTCCTAGAAAATTGACCACAAGTCTGAAGCCAAGACTCCAGACACCTTCAGTGGTCTAAGGAAGAGATTGGATCAGGGTAGGGGGCTGGAGGTCCACCTTGCAGCCCTTCTGACCGGAGCTGGGCTGATGTTCTAATGATCTAGATGTCCCTTCTGCCTCATCTCATTTGAGGCTCAGGCAGGATACATCATCCCTGACGACTGAACTCTGATCTTTTTCTTTTGCTCAAAACTCCATCCTAAAGAAGCCAGCTGAGTCAGGCTCACAAATGGTAAATTCCCACTAAGCAGCTTTTGTTAACCAAATAAAGTGTGGTTTACTTCCCAACCTGATTCCAGTATAGCATTAACATTACCTAAAAGATCTTAACTCAAGCATCCTAGCAGATGCCCATCTTAAACTTGAAACATTCTCCTGTCTGGACTTCCCAGTGTTTACACCTTTATCTTAAATTATGCATATTCTTTCTGGTCTTTTAGATAAAGCCCAATTCTCTCAGCCAATTGCCAGCCAAAGAATCTTTAAACCCACCTATAACCTGTAAGCCCCTGCTTCGAGATGCCCCACCTTTTTGGACCAAACCTATGCATGCCTCTCATGTATTGATTTATGACTTTACCTGTAACCCCTGTCTCTCTGAAATGTATAAAACCAAACTGTAACCCAGCCACAGTGAGCCCACTTGCTCAAGGTTTCTTGGGAGTGGCTCCGGGGTATGGTCCTCAAATTTGGCTCAGAATAAACTTCTTTCAAATATTTCAGGGTTTGGATTTTTTCCATCCACATCCCCATGATAAGACCAGAGAGACACAGCCAGTCACATTTTCATATAAAAGCTTATGAGAATTCACACAAAGTCACCACATACAGAGATTCACACTGTTTGGTCTGGACATAGGTTTCAAGGTAATGAAATTCAAGTGAGCCAGTGGTGGTGGTAAGGTATGTCCCCCTTCCTCCAATACTGACCATGGTGCAGGTAGCATGAGAAAGAGCTATAAGGAGGTGGGAACACAAAACACATGATTAAGCCAGGTGCAGTGGGACACACCTAGAGTCTCAGCTACTTGAGAGGCTGAGGCAAGAGGATCACTTGAGCCCAGGAGTTCTAGCCTGTAGTGTGCCATAATCATGCCTGTGAATAGCCAATGCATTCCAGCCTGGGCAACATAGCAAGATCTCATCTTTACAAAAATTTTAAAAATTAGCCAAGCATAGTGGTGCAAGACTGTAGTCCCAGCTACTTGGGAGGCTGAGGCAAGAGGAGCACTTAAGCCCAGGAGTTCGAGGCTACAGTGAGCTATGATCGCACCATTGTACTCCAGCCTCAGTGACAGAACAAGACCCTGTCTCAAAACATAAATACAAAAATAAATGAGAAATTCAATTCCTCAAGTCAGAGGAAGTTGGAAGCATGAAGTCAGCATCAGAATCACAACTGGCCACTGATATGGTGGCCCTGCTAATAAACTATCTAACAGAGAAAAAGAAACTAACAGAAAGAGGAAAAACTCACAGCACATAATTGCCCTTTTGAAGGGAAAGAGCATAACACAACTGCCTCTTTGTTAGATTAGATTAACCACCTGGGGCTTAACTTGTTGTCTTTAAGTTTAACCACTTAATGTCTCTGAGAGTTTATGTTAACAGCCTTGAAGAGCCCTTTTCCAGCCAGAACCACATTCCAGAGGACCCTGATAAGCCATCCTCCAAGAACTGAGGACAAAAAAAGGAAAAACAGACACATCCTTTTCACATCTGTCTCCTCTTACCAGCTTGCAGCATTAACTGTTTATTTACCCTTTTTCCTTATTAAAAACTCTGAGTCCCTTAGCCTTGGGGCCGACCCTCCCCTTTCTTTCTCTTGTGTTGCTCTTCTCACCTTTGGGAAGTAAAATAAACTTTCCTTCTTTAAAACTATTCTAATCTTTGTGTCAAGAATTCTTTCTCAGCCTGGCCTGGCATGGTGGCCCACGCCTGTAATCCTAGCACTCTGGGAAGCCAAGGTGGGAGGATCACTCAATGTCAGGAGTTCGAGACCAGCCTGAGAAAGAGTAAGACCTCATCTGTACTAAAAATAGAAAGAAATTATCTGGACAACTACAAATATATATATAAAAAATTAGCCCAGGCCGGGCGTGGTGGCTCACGCCTGTAATCTTAGCACTCCGGGAGGCCGAGGCAGGAGGATGGCTCGAGGTCAGGAGTTCGAAACCAGCCTGATCAAGAGTGAGACCCCGTTTCTACTATAAATAGAAAGAAATTAATTGGCCAACTAATATATATAGAAAAAATTAGCCGTGCATGGTGGCACATGCCTGTAGTCCCAGCTACTTGGGAGGCTGAGGCAGGAGGATTGCTTGAGCCCAGGAGTTTGAGGATACTGTGAGCGAGGCTGATGCCACGGCACTCACTCTAGCCCGGGCAACAGAGTGAGACTCTTTCTCAAAAAAAAAAGAATTCTTTCTCAGCCTGCACCATGAGTTCACCCCCCCCCCAAGAGCCACTACATCCTTTTTCTCCTCTGTCTCAGTCTTCAGTCTCTCATTGTTCTCCACCTCTCCTCGTCCACTTTCACTCTTGCTTCTACCCAGACCATATTATAAGCTGAGGCAGCCATTGCATGCCCCCTGCTCCTTACTGCAGCCTTTCTCCCTGTTCTTTGGACCTAGTTTCTCTCCAGCCCCATGACTCCTCCCCATCCACTGTGCTAGTCGTTGACCTACAGAGAACCTGGGCTTGGGGCAGAACAGACAGAAGGCAGCAGAAGCTTCCAGGGTGCAGGAGCTCCCAGAATAGGATCTCTCTTTGGTGAGAAGCTGAGCAGCATCCAAAACCTGTTTCTTACACTTCACCTCCTGCTTGGCCTGGGCTTCCAGCAAGCAGAAGTCACCCTTCTCCCTTGCCAGCTCTCATAACAGAGATGGCAGGGTGGGGAGGAGGGAAGGGGAGAGACTGACTGAGGTTTAACATTTCCGCAGAGATATACAAGCAAGAGAAGGCAAAAGGAATTGCTAGAGGCTGCACTCACTTCTCTGGGTCTGAGCACTTGAGAAAATTTCATCCCTGGTCCCATCCCTTAACCCACTTTACCTTCCTCCTCTATCCACCTGTTCTGAAAAAACATGTCAGTAAAAAGTCACTTCCTGTTTGGGCCTATTCATTATTTATTTTGAATAAGTAATACAGTCACATGGTCCACAATTCAAAATGTACAGAATGGTATACAGTGCTAAGTTTGCTCTCTCCCCTGTCCCCAACCTCCGGGTTCTCCTCTCCAGAGGTAATCAGTGTTACCCATTTCTTCTGAAAATGTACATAGAAGCAAGTATGTATTTATATCCTCCTTTCTTTTTTTTTGAGAAAGAGTCTGGCTTTGTTGCCCAGGCTAGAGTGAGTGCCATGGCGTCAGCCTGGCTCACAGCAACCTCAAACTCCTGGGCTCAAGCGATCCGTCTGCCTCAGCCTCTCGAGTAGCTGGGACTACAGGCATGCGCCACCATGCCTGGCTAATTTTTTCTCTATATATTAGTTGGCCAATTAATTTCTTTCTATTTATAGTAGAGACAGGGTCTCACTCTTGCTCAGGCTGGTTTCGAACTCCTGACCTTGAGCAATCCGCCTGCCTCGGCCTCCCAGAGTGCTAGGATTACAGGCGTGAGCCACCACGCCCGGCCTATATCCTCCTTTGTAACATGCAAATTGGAACTGCACTATCACATTTCCACACCTTGCCTTCTTCACTGGAAGGTTATTCCATATCAGCATATAAAGATAATATATTTTAGCTGCATAGAATTGTATGGAAATATACCATAATTGTGGAAGGAGGTTTCTGTTGTTTCCAATCTCTTGCTATTTCTTTGGACCCATCCTTAATCCAGACCCCAGGAGGTAAAGCAGTGAGGGAGGTGCTGGAACAGGTTCCCTCACCAGGCCAGCACCCACCTCACCTAGGCCCCGCCCCACCTAGGCCAGCTCCGCCCCCCAGGCCAGGCCACACCCCCCCAGGCCAGGCCCCAGCTCATCTGCATGCACACACACTATTGGACAGCCCTTGGCCTTGTGGCTGGAGTCCCTGGGGCTTTCTTTATTTCACCTGTGGTGCCTACTCTTAGTTCCCACTCCAGCCTCCCATATTAGCTGTTGCAGAGTAAGGCAGCATTTGGTCACATACAGCCCCTGGCACAAAATGATCTTTCCTTATTATCACTGCACCCATAAAACCACCTGAAATGCTAACTTAAGCAGCTGCTGTCACAACGTGCATCCTCCTCCAGAGAGTGCAAGGCAGGCAGATATAATTGGGCAGAGGGAACTGTCCAGAAACACACCCTGCCCTAGGACAGGGGTGGGGGCAACTTCCATTCCCAATATGTGACAGACGCAAGGGGACACACAGTGTTGTCTTCTCCACTAAGGTGACATCTTTGTATCTTTGATACTTTTACATGCCTAGGGCCGGGAGAGGAGATCCAAGTTGAGAACTGAGGGTAGTGGGAACACCAGGGGCTGGAACAGAGGGACATTCCCTCAGCTTGTGAGGGATTTCCCAGGATAGAAAGGGAAGCAGGAAGGGGAGGAGGTAGCAGCAGGCAAGCGGAAAAGAAGGAGAGAAGGAAGGGACTTGGATGAGAAGGAATGTGGCAGAAGTGTCCTTTCCAGCTCATCTGTGGACGTGCAGGATGAGCAGCTCTGCCTTGAGGTCTAGAGACCTCAATCCCTGTAGCAGAGCCTCAGAGATGGCCTAAAAGATTCAGGAAAACCAGAAAACAAAAAAAGGGAACCATCTGGGGAAAAGCCTGGCCATGCCCCCATGCTCCTGGCTAGGCCGTCCTCCTCTCTCTGGGACAGGGACTCAGCACAGCTGGGAGCAACGAAGCTGAGTCCCCTGAGTCAGGCCTCACAGGCTCAGGATGCTCCTGGCTCCAAGGGGGCTGCAAGGGAGAGCAATGGAAGAGAGGGAACCTCGGGGGACAGGGGGATGGACAGACATCAGGGGTGGGAGGAAGGAGAGGGAACCAGGCTGCCCACCCAGTGCCCGGCTGCTCCCACCCCCTCAGCCCATCCTGGGGCCCTTGGCCAGATTCCCCATCCCACAGACCACCTAGTTTTGACAGAAGCCCCCGTGGGAGAAGGCAGGGAGGTCGGGGGCACAGGCAGCAGTCTGGGACAGGCAAGCCAGGGGGTTGACCTCACAGGCCCCAACATCCTGGTCCCCCCGGAAGTAGATGGAGTCAGGGGAGTAGAAGGAAGGGTCCTCGTCAAAGAAGTTGTAGGGTCGGAGGAAGAAGCCTACGCCGTTGCCCACAGTCACTGTGTTGGGAATGTCCTCTGAGTGCGGGATGTGCAGGAATCCAGCTGTCACCCAGGCCACCAAGTCCTAGCAGGGGAGAAGGAGGAGGATCATGAGGTCTGGCTTTGCTGAGGACATGCCCAGCCTCCCACGGTGGCCTTGCAGGTAGAGATTCAGCTCACCAGAAGGAACTTAGGTCTTTTTTTTTTTTCCTTTGGGACAGAGTCTCACTTTGTTGCCTAGGCTAGAGTAAGTACCGTGGCATCAGCCTAGCTCACAGCAACCTCAAACTCCTGGGCTCCAGTGATCCTTCTGCCTCAGCCTCCCGAGTAGCTGGGACTACAGGCATGCACTGCCATGCCTGGCTAATTTTTTCTATATATATTAGTTGGCCAATTAATTTCTCTCTATTTATAGTAGAGACAGGGCCTCGCTCTTGCTCAGGCTGGTCCTTGAGACCCTAGAGCCCTCCTAGTTCCAGCTTCCTGGACTGAGTCCTTTCTGGACCCCAGAACTCAAGGACAGATGGATGTTACCAGGGAAAATCACATCTCCTGTATCTAAAGTTGCTCCCATTGCTGACTTGACTGTTAAGAATGAATTTCTCAATGTTGGCCTGTTTCTGCCTCCCAAACCCTGATCTTCCCTTCTCCATCCTTCCTCCCCAGTTACAGGGAACTCTTGGCAAGTCAGGGAGAGAGGAGCTCGGGCTGGTTTTGAACTCCTGACCTCGAGCAATCCGTCCACCTTGGCCTCCCAGAGTGCTAGGATTACAGGCGTGAGCCACCACGCCTGGCCAGAACTTAAGTCTTTTTTTTTTTTTTTGAGACAGAGTCTCACTTTGTTGCCCAGGCTAGAGTGAGTGCCGTGGTGTCAGCCGGGCTCACAGCAACCTCAAACTCCTGGACTCAGTAGCTGGGACTACAGGCTTGCGCCACCATGCCCGGCTAGTTTTTTCTATATATATTAGTTGGCCAATTAATTTCTTTCTATTTATAGTAGAGATGGGGTCTCACTCTTGCTCAGGTTGGTTTCGAACTCTTGTGCTCAAGCAATCCGCCCACCTCGGCCTCCCAGAGAGCTAGGATTACAGGCATGAGCCACCAGAACTTAAGTCTTTAAACATGTTTTTCCTACTGGCCCACAAGCCAAAGCATAAATAGTCTATTTCTTACTAGGAACACCACCTGCCTTCCTGTCCCTACCCTGCACCTTCCATCTTGGACATTTCTCATCACATCGTCTCTGCCTTACCCACCCCCAGAGGGTGACACCCACCCACTTCAGCTCCTCTCTCCCTGACTTGCCAAGAGTTCCCTGTAACTGGGGAGGAAGGATGGAGAAGGGGAGATCAAGGTTTGGGAGGCCGAAACAGGCCAACATTGAGAAATTCATTCTTTACCAGGCAAGTCAGCAATGGGAGCAACTTTAGATACAGGAGATGTGATTTTCCCTGGTAACATCCATCCGTCCTTGAGTTCTGGGGCCCAGAAAGGACTCAGTTCAGGAAGCTGGAACTAGGAGCGCTCTAGGGTCTCAAGGACAGGCCAGGTCTTCACCCAGTGCCTGCATGTGGACACCTAGCTCAGAAGATTACTTCAAAGGGTAATGATCAGACCGCTAAAGTGCAGGGGGCAGGAGTCAGCTCCACCCCTGAGGAGATGGGCTGGTTTTCAGGGACCCGCCCCAGAGAAGGGGAGGCTCATCCTAGTGCCCGACCCTCCCCAGGCCCTTCTGAAGTTGACATCTGCCAACCTCTCCCATGATGGTCTCGTTGTCAATGAAGTCAGTGAAGTCCACAGTGGGGGCCCAAGGGTCGTTCTGGTTGAAGACGCTGCTGCTAGTGGGCTCTTCCTCCTTCCGCCGGGTCACAGCCAGCTTGTACCTAGAGAGGCACTGGTCAGGCCTCCATGGTCACTAACTCCCGTCTTGCTGCCTGATTATGACGGGAACCTGAGTGCTCAAACCTCAGCTTCACACGCACACAATGACTCCATGCTATAGAATCCCTGACCCCACCCTGGGGGGTCACTGCCACCTCTTTATCCCCTGCCATGTCACAGCACAGTCCCTCCCCCATCCAGAACAGAAGCCACTCTGGGGCTTTAGCCCTCCAAGGAAGAAATGTGCTATGGTGGAATCTCTCTCTGGGACAGGGACTCAGCACAGCTGGGAGCAACGAAGCTGAGTCCCCTGAGTCAGGCCTCACAGGCTCAGGATGCTCCTGGCTCCAAGGGGGCTGCAAGGGAGAGCAATGGAAGAGAGGGGACCTCGGGGGACAGGGGGATGGACAGACATCAGGGGTGGGAGGAAGGAGAGGGAACCAGGCTGCCCACCCAGTGCCCGGCTGCTCCCACCCCCTCAGCCCGTCCTGGGGCCCTTGGCCAGATTCCCCATCCCACAGACCACCTAGTTTTGACAGAAGCCCCCGTGGGAGAAGGCAGGGAGGTCGGGGGCACAGGCAGCAGTCTGGGACAGGCAAGCCAGGGGGTTGACCTCACAGGCCCCAGGATCCTGGTCCCCCCGGAAGTAGATGGAGTCAGGGGAGTAGAAGGAGGGGTCCTCGTCAAAGAAGTTGTAGGGTCGGAGGAAGAAGCCTACGCCGTTGCCCACAGTCACTGTGTTGGGAATGTCCTCTGAGTGCGGGATGTGCAGAAATCCAGCTGTCACCCAGGCCACCAAGTCCTAGCAGGGGAGAAGGAGGAGGATCATGAGGTCTGGCTTTGCTGAGGACAAGCCCAGCCTCCCACGGTGGCCTTGCAGGTGGCGATTCAGCTCACCAACCTAGACTTTTGTAATTTCTCAAGAAAAACGTGAAATCATAAAGTTTCCTTTCTTAGTGGGTTCTAAAGACTCCTGAGGAATCTGGCTTGGGATAGAGTGAAGCAGCTAATTCTTGGTCCCCCAGCCGCTGCCCCCATCTACACCCACGCCCTCCCGGCCTTTCAACTGACCCGCCCTGCAATAGTCTCATTGTTGATGAAGTCAGTGAAGTCCACGGTGGGTGTCCAAGGGTCATTCAGATTGTAGATGCTGGTGCTACTGGGCTCCTCCTCTTTCCGCTGGGTCACAGCCAGCTGATACCTACAGGAGATTTTGGTTAGACTTACAGGGCCATCAACTGTCCCCTGGCCTGTAGCTGCACTGAGGAGGGACACAGAGGGGAGGGAGCACAAAGGTCTTGGGGTGTGGAGTCTCTTTACCATTCTCTGCCCAGTTCTTCCTGCACCCTATAGAGGCCCCCTTCTGTCCAATATCCTGTACCTTAAACTCTGGATGCCCATTGTTCAGATTTCAGGTAGAAATGTTGCTCATCGCCCACCAGGTCAGACCCTGCAGTTGAGAATGGGCCTGGGATCCCTACGTATGGACAAGGTCTGATTCCCATACTCAGTCAAGTTTAGTGCCTCAAATGCCTGGATTCCAGGGAATCCTCCCTTAGATCTGTGTTTCTCTCTTGTTCTTTTTTGGTTTTGTTTTTGATTTTTTTTTTTTTTTTAACAGAGTCTCACTCTGTTGCCCGGGCTAGAGTGCCATGGCATCAGCCTCGCTCACAGCAACCTCAAACTCCTGGGCTCAAGCAATCCTCCTGCCTCAGCCTCCCCAGTAGCTGGGACTATAGGCATGCACCACCATGCCCGGCTAATTTTTTCTATGTATTTTTAGTTGGTCAATTAATTTCTTTCTACTTTTTTAAATAGAGACAGGGTCTTGCTCTTGCTCAGGCTGGTCTCGAACTCCTGACCTTAGGCAATCTGCCTGCCTTGGCCTCCCAGAGTGTAGGATTATAGGTGTGAGCCACCGTGCCTGGCCTTGTTTTTGATTTTGTTTTGTTTTTTGTTGTTGTTTTTTGAGACAGAGTCTTCCTCTGTTTCCCCGGCTAGAGTACAGTGGTGCCGTCATAGCTCACCGCAACCTCAACCTCCTGGGCTCCAACCATCCTCCTATCTCTGCCTCCAAGAGTGCTAGGATTATAGGCATGAGCCGCTGTGCCTGGCCTACTCTTTGTTTTTCCCTCCAACCTTTAATGTGGTTGGAGGAAAGAAAAAAAACCTTTAACATTTTAAGCACACAAAAAAGTTGGAAGAACTGTATAGTGAACACCCTTATAACCACAGCCTAGATTCCACCATTTGCTACATTTGCTTCAATGCCTTATGTCTCACCGTTCCTAGGCTTCGTTCTGCATGGCTAAGGATTGTGGCCACAGGACTGTGTGTGTATGTTTGTTTGCACGTGCACCTATAGGAGGTGGAGCAATGCAGGGGCCTTCGTACCGCCAGTCTCTGCCATCCCCTCTCTGGCGACCACTCACCTCCCCCAGCTGAGGCCTCTCTCCACGGAGCTGTTCTGGGGCAGCGGCTCCCCGGCAAAGCTGAGCATCTGGATGCGGTAGCCCCGCGGGTGACCCCACTTGTTGCTGTGGTTGCTGGCCAGGTACAGGTAGCGAGGGGTGGCCTCTCCCAGGGGAAAGGCGGCCTGGTCCTCTGTCTGTAGCAGCTTCCGGGTCACCTGCATCCTCTGTATCTGGTGCTCGGGGCTCCAGGGCACAGCCGTGGGAACGAAGGCCATGTCCTCGGCCCAGACCCAGTTCTCCTGTCCTGCTCGGTGGTGGTGGGAGTGGTGGTGAGTGATCAGATGGTTATACAGCCACCCTGGCTGCTCTGGACTCTGCTCCTACTTGGCTTCAAGAGGGAACCAAAGAGCAGCCCAGAACTGAGTGTGTCCTCTACTTCCCCCTCCCCAGGATATCCCCAATCCTTCAACCAAAGTTGTTGAACTAAAATAAATAAAGTCAAATAATTAAAATATGTCATCATGGATTTCACTCATTTTCATTAATTCATTCATTCACAATTCATTAGTGGAGAGAACTGTGCTGGCCCTTGGGGACAGAGCACGTGAACTGATGTCCCACGCAGGCAGGCAAACCACTGACTGGCCTACACGTGAGAGGGGCATGGCCCAGGCAGGTTCTAGGTCACAGGAGCACAGGTGCAGGCAGGAAAAGGGGGCCCTCGTGGGCAACTTTTCAGCCCAGACTTAGAGGGTGTCCCCAAAAGAGATGACATGGAAGGGCATTCTAGGCAGGGACAAAGCATAAGTGAAAACGAAGGAGCTTGACTGTCACGTGTGGGTCGTGTGTGCAGGCACAGGGGATGTGTGGTGTGGCAGTGGCAGTGAGCGGCGAAGAGTCTGCAGGGGGGCTGGAGCTGCACCGTGAAGGGAAGGGGTGTGAGGTCCTTCTGTGGCCGGGACCCTGCAGTGATGGGGAGAGGGACAGTTGAGGAAGGGGCAGGCTGGTGCGGGAGGGAGGGTCCTCTGGGCACAGAGTGGCCCCTGGATCTGAGAGCAACAAGAGCGGAGGCAGCAGAGAGAGGGCTGGCACCTGCAGGGGCATGGCAGTGCGGTCCAGTGAGGGTTCTGAGGTATTTCAGGGGTGGGACCTGAGAAAACCTTATGATCCTTGTGGGGAGAAACGTGAAAAGACAAAGACGAAGACTCCAAGGCATCATGTGGCCTTGGCTCTCTCTGTAACCGCCAACTCTGGAACTACCCAGGATGCTCCATGAGATCCATCATGCTGCCCCCGCACTTACGTGACTGTGCTCAGACAGAGATGGAAATCTCCTAGGAAAGGTGCAACCGGGGTGGGTGTTCCACGACTGGCCTGCACATGCCAGGGACTGGGCAGAACGCAAGCAGATTGTTCAGCACACCAGCACCACGGGCCAGACACAGAGAAATGCGCTAAATAGCAAATGGCTGCCTCCTGGATGTGGCCCATGTAAGTGCAAGGGAGGGAGGAGGGCAAGGCGGACGCTGTTGGCCCAGGTCCTGCCTTCTCCCTGAGCTTAGCCACTTCCCAAGATTTTCTAATGTGGTCACGTGGAGGCAGGCTGGCAGCTGCGTAACCAGCCAGTGAGTTAGATCTAAATAAAACTTAGCAGCCAACTCTCTCCCATTCAGCAAGGGGGAAGCATAAAAATCCAAATCTTTCCCCGGATAACCTACATAAATCCCAAAGCAAATGGAGACAACTCTTCAGCCCTTCTTCCAGAATCCTTACCCCACCAGGATGTCTTACCTGCCACATCCAGATCCACCTTGTAGTGTGCAATGTGTGTGTGGACCGTTCCCAGCGTGTGCTCCCTAACTTGGTTCCCGTACCTCTGGGCAGCACCAAAGAGGAACGCTGAGCTGATGTAGCCTGTGGCATGGAATCTGACTTCTATGGCCCCGTTGGGGTGGAAGACCATATCCCACACGTAGTCATAGTTGAGCAAGGTGGACACAGATCTGACGACCAGCACTGTCTCTGCTAGGCCCCCAAAATAGCGGGAGTATAAATCTGAGTGGTGTCTCCGCAGGGGGAGGCCCTGGTTCTGTTCAAACACACAAAAGGCATCATGCAGTGTCTTGGGGGTTTGGGACTCCAAAAGGAAGTGCCAGTCCACATAGGTGGCCAGGTAGGGGCAGTCCACCCCATGAGTCAGAGGCGTGGAGTACTTGCCCATGCCAAAGCCACCATCCACATAGCGGGTCATCATTGCTCCTGGGGTATTTCCACCGTAGATGGCCAAGGCCTCTTGGAGGCTGATCTCATAAGCTAGCCGTTCTCCCTGGAAGCGAACGTCAAAGATCCTTGGGCCACTGAAAGCTCCAAGGCCAAAGGAGAAAGTCCACAATGAGGAGGCCACTCGACGCCCCTGGACACTGAAGCGGGGACCCTGGGGATGGAACTGCAGAGGGGCAGCCGGACCTGGGGGCACCTGGGACTTCAGGGACCAGGACCCACCTGTGCCATTGTCTGGGATCACCACCACATTCACCCGGCCGGCCTCAAACTGGTCCTCCAGCTGGGCCAGACTGTCATAGTAGCGGCCTTGATAGAACACCTTCTGGATGGTCCAGAGGGCAGGGTCCAGGGCCTTGTGGTCTACCAGCAGCTCCAACCCCACGGGGTGCAGGAAAATCCCAGCCCCTGAGATGTTGTAGTAGAGGCCAAACCAGGTTGCTCGGTCCCCTGACTGCAGACCACGGGGGGCTGTGGTCATCGTCACCAGGTTCCTTCCTTGGCGTTTGTAGAAGCAACAGTGGTGGAGAAGACCAGCTGCCTGGGGTAGCTCTCTGTCGAAGATCATCCGGTCTATGTCCAGGTACTCTCGGGCCAGCACGGGGCGTCGGTGATAGGGCAGGGGGCCTCCATGACGCTCCACGGTCACGTCCTGCATGTAGGAGGGGTGAGGCAGCGGTCCCACCACCAGCTCACTCACGTTGGGCTGGGGTTGTCCACCAAAGAAGACGATGGCCAGCGCCTCCCGGGCAGGTGGGGCCTTCCCCTTGTCCAGGTAGGCCAGGGCTGCGGCCTTTGGGGGCAGCTGCAGCTCCACTGAGAAGACACAGTTGTCCGAGGGCTGGGCCTGGGCTGGATCCACCAGCCCTGGCGCCAGCCGCTTGGTCAGAAAGTTCATCACAGTCATCAGCTCCTCTCGGCTCAGGTCTGCAAACAGCTGGCTCTGGCCAGGGTGTGTCCAGGGCTGGGCACTGGGAGATATGGAGGGGCAGTGGGAAAGCTGGCTAGGTTCATCTCCATCTCTACCCTTGCCCACTAGCAGGACACAAACCAAGGCAAAGATGGTGATGACGGCCAGAGCAAGGAGCACTAGGGTGGTTTTCTGGTTCATCGTCCCATGAAGACGGATAGAGCATTCAATCAGAGTAGAGCTGTGTGTTCTCAGGCCAGCAGAACAGGGGCTTTCTTGGCTCCTGGACTGGGGGCTCCTGGACGGCAGGGCTCTCGGACTCTGGCTGAGCCTCTCAGTAGTCAGCCGCCTAGGACTGAGGGTGGGAAAGACACAGGGAGGCTGGGGCAGGGGGCGGGGCGGGTGGGGCTAGGGGCGGGTCTGAGCAAGGCAGCAGGGATGACCTTACATAGCTTTGTCTCCAGGCTGCCAAATCAGGCTCTGCTCTCTGGGTCAGGGTTAGAATTGGGGAGAGCTGGGGTTGGCGGAAGGGGAAGGAAAATTTCAAGATAATGCAGCTGGCCAGCCTGAGCACAAAAATGTAGCCCCAACAAGGAGCTGCGTCTTCGCACAGCAGCACCTCACGCCCCTGCATAGCTTCTTCACCAACCCCCTTCCCACGGTCACATGTTCTCTTTCCTGTGACTTCAAACTATTGTTCTCCTTCTAAGGAAACCTCCACCCCTAGCCCCTGCGGCTTCCCAAGCCACATTCCTTGGCCAGGTCTATCCCCCCCAACTCCGGAGCTCACCCCACCCCCACCATCCTCCATTGCTAATTTCCTTGGCCAGAGTCCTAGAGTCCTTAATAGTCTCCAGGGGACTCTAGATACATAAACAAATAGAATAAATTCAAATAAAATTCTTGTAATTTTATTATAAATTACACATAACATCTGTCTTACAAAATTCTATCTACGCTTCCTTTTGAATGTACATACATGAAGAAATGTCTGATATGATGTGAACAGCAGCTATTTCTGAGTGGTAGGATTTATGATGTGCTTGAATATTTTAAAAGCATGTTTTCTAATTTATCATTTTAAAAAAATGAACAGAAAATAAGAATTAACCAAAGGGATATGTAGGGATGTGTGGGGAGTTAGTGTGGGAGGAGGTTGTTTCCTAAGGAACATTGAGAGGGTGGGAGTCAGGGTGGCAGGTGTGATAAAAACACAGGGAACAGGCCCAGCACTTTGTGAGGCTGAAAGGCTCAGGCAAGAGAATCTCTTGCGCCCAGGAGTTCAAGACCAGCCTGGGCAACATAGTGAGGCTCCATCTCTACAAAAAAATAAGAAAAATTAGCCAGGCATGGTGGTGTGCTCCTGTAGTCCCAGCTACTTGAGAGGCTGAGGCAGGAGGATTGTTTGAGCCCAGGAATTGAGGCTGCAGTGAGTTATGATGACACCACTGCACTCCATCCTGGGTGACAGAGCAAGACCCTGTCTCAAAAAACAAAAAAGACAGAGAACATAAAGTGGAAACAGAGAGGAAGGTACACGTGTCTAACCCCCTCCACTCCCCAACCAGGGTTAGAAGCCTTGGTAAGAGAAAGGGGGCAAGTCCGGGACACAGGCTGCCAGGTGGGGTAGGCAGGCCACAGGGTTGACACTGCAGAGCCCAGTATCCTGGCCCTTCTCAAAGTAGACGCTGCCAGAGGAAAAGATGGAGGGGTCCTCATCAAAAAAGTTGTAGGGCCGGAGCAAGAAGCCAACTCTGTTCCCCAGAGTCACTGTGTTGGGGATGTCCTCAGCATGGGGAATGTGCAGGAAGCTGGCTGTAACCCAAGCCACCAGATCCTGCAGGAAGAGGGAGGAGCTGGAGGACTAAGGAGGCAAGACCCAAAGAACCACCCTTCGGCTACAATCCCCAACCTCCAGCCTCAGCGTGCCTCTGCCCAGCCTCATGCCTACACAACATGGAAGTGCGGGTGGGGGTCAGTGTTCTCCCATAGCTAATCTCACCCCAGGAGGGGTGATCTGTGTTGGTCATCAGGAGACTTCTAGGCCTCTGGACCTAAGAATTGGAAATCTACCATTCCCTCCAACCTATGGCTAGAGGCTGGGCAGCCAAGATGCCAGGCACAGAGGAGCCCCTCTCTGTCTCTGAGGGCTACCAACCTCTCCTAAGAGGGTTTCATTGTTGATGAAGTCAGCGAAGGCCACAGTGGGTGTCCAGATGTCATTCTGGTAATAGATGCTGCTGCTCTGTGATTCCTCCTCCTTCCTCTGGGTTACCACCAGCTGATACCTGACCAGGAATTGTTGTAGGAAGGTGGTGTTGGAAAATATCAAGGGCTTTTACTGGCCCAGAAGTACTTTGGATCAGATTCTTTGTGAGACCATTTCCCATCCCATATCTACTGGGATCTGAGGGGAGGTATAGGAACAAACAGTAAGCCAGGGATACTGAGTTGGGGTCTCCAAGGGCTGGGACAGGGGAGAGGGCCAGTCTTTCCCATCCACCCACTGCCCAGGGCCCTCCTCACCTCCCCCAGCTAAGGGCCCTCTCCATGTGGCTCTCCAAGGGCATGTGCACGCCAAGGGGGCTGTGGATCTGGATTCGGTACCCGCGCTGGTGACCCCATGCGTTAGTCTGGTTGCCAGCCAGGTAAAGGTAGCGGGGCAGGGGGCTTCCCAAGGAAAAAGCTGTCAGGTCTTCCCTTGCCAGGACCTGCCGAGTCAGCTGTGGCCGCTGCAGCCGGTGCTCCGGGCTCCAGGGGGCAGCCACAGGTTTAAACACCACATCTTCAGCTACCACCCAGTTTTTCAGCCCTGCCAGGGTGAGGGAAGGGAGAGGAGTTCCACACCAGGTAAGGCTATTCCAACAGGCCCGTCTTCCCCTCGATGCTCACTGCACCAGCCTGACAAAAGGCAGCAGAGAGCAACAGACAGTGCTGTGCTGGGAGCCAGAAAGTCTGGGCGAGTGTTACCTTGTCTTTTTCTAACCTGCCCTCTCCGATAGGGTACCCACCAGTCACATGTGGCTAATTAAATTTATATTGAAAATTCAGTTACTCAGTCACACTAGCCACATTTAAAGTGCCTAGTTGCCACACACGGCTAGTGGCTATTGTTTCACAGCACAGATATAGAACATTTCTATCACTACAGAGTCCTGTTAGCATGGGTCTACTGAGTTAGATCCTGGACCAATTCGCTTCTCTGATTCTTACTTTCCGAATCCATACACTGTTTTATGGCTGTGCTCAACAAACAGAAAAGCACATGCACTTGACTAGTGATAGTCTTGTAATTATGAAAGGGATAATGATTATTTGTTGTGGAGAACCTAGGTGGAAAAACACAATCCCCTTCCATGGTCCCCTGCATGCTCCTCCCAGCTCTAAGACTTCACTGTACCTCAATTAAGCGGGGAGCACTTGCAATCATTTTTAGAAGTGAGCAGATTCATATCTTTAAATTTTCTGAGAGGTTTTGGAATTCTACTGCATCCATAAACTGCATCACCCAGCTCAGCACATGGTCATATGCTTTTTTCCGGCAGGTCCGGACTGTTGCTTCCTTTAAATGAGAAGGCCTATATGGGGGCACCTGGCGCGGGAGGTTCTCACTCCATTGAAGCCAGTGCCTCTGCAGGTCGTGGTCCTGTGCACTGGCCTGTCTTAACATTACCTCTCTGGCCCCACAGCACCAGCCAGGGCTGCACACTGTAGGGATCCAACAAATGTTACCTGTTACTTCCCAAAATGAGGTCTGTAATGCCAAAAATGCTGAAGGGAAACCTCTAATCAGAATAGGACTAATCCAAGTATGTCAAAGGGTAATCTAGATAACAATACATCATTTCAATCCCGTTATTTTCTTAGTTCTCCCTCCCTTCACCGCCATTGCGAAGGCAAACACAAGTGCATGTGCGTGTGTACACGTGCACGCACACTCACCATGTCTTCATACCCGAGGACAAGAAAATGTTTCACAAGAAGCATGCTTAGTTACATTGTGTTATACTTGCGCAGTCACTTTCTGTCTGTGCCATCCCCCCCACACACACACCCTCCTTAATTTCCCCAACTGCAAAATGGAGGTTAATTCCTAATATTCTTTGTGGATCTAAAAGTGTGATTTGATAAGTTCATTTTCTGTCATCAACAGAATGTTAGTAGCAGCAAGTCCTCTTTGTGCTTTGAGCCCTACTTGAGAAATCTTTCTATACCTGCAGCAAGCCTATCCCATGCCTGCCACGTCCCTGGAAATCCATTGTGATGATAGGAAGGGGATGGCCCTCCATGCGAGGAGAGTGGCACCATCCTATGGTATTCCCCACTTCCCACGCACCAGGTCCACTCCTACCCTGAAAACTCTTTAGACTTCCAACCTCTGCTCGGCCCCGACCTCCCCATCCCCACTGACCCTCAGAATTAGGAAAAAACAATGTCCCAACTCCAGCCCCAGCCAACCTCAGACAGGCCAATTCACCCACCTAGTATCACTCAAGGCTACGGCAGGCAAGCCCAGCCATCACATTTAAACTAGTTTCGCAATTGCAGCAAGGCAGAGGGGAGTGGGGGATTGGGGCTGGGCGGGGGAACCCTTTTCACCTTTTGCCAGATACCCAGCAGCCCAGTGGCAGGCTGACTGCAGTTGGATACACTCCAATTGTCCCTACTCTGTTGCTGGCATGCCTGCTCTTGCCTCTTTCAAAGATTTCAGCTTGATCTGGGGGGGTTCCCTTCCCTCCACCCGCCCGCCACCCCCCACCATCATCCGTCAGGACTTACCTGCCACATCCAGGTCCAGCTTGAAGTGGAAGGCGTGGGTGTGCACTGCCCCTAGCACACGCTCCCCTACACGGTTCCCAAAGAGCAGGCTGTCCTCTCCCCCACTCAGGAAAGCTGTGTTGACATAGCCTGTAGCATGGACCCGCCCTTCAAGTGCCCCATTTGGGTGCAACACAAAGTCCCAAATGTAATCATAGTTACCCACAGATGATACAGACCTGACCACAAGGGCTGAGCTGGCCAAACCCCCATAGAAATGACTCCCAATGTAATTGTGGTGCCTTCGAAGGGGTAGTCCCTGGGCTTCCTCAAATACACACACAGCCCCTGGAAGCAGCTGGACTGCTCCTTTGCCCACTAATATATGCATATCCACCATCGTGGCTTGATAGGGGCAGTCCACTCCCCGCACCAAGCCTCGACTATTACGGCCAAGCCCATAGCTGCTATCCAAATACCGAGTTACCATCGTCTTGGGTGAATCGGCACCATAGACAGACAGACACTCCTGGACACTGATTTCATAGGCCACTCGCTCGCCCTTGAACCGAATATCAAAAAGCCTCATGCCACTGAACAACCCATGGCCAAAGGTAAACATCCACAGGGAGGAC